TAGACAGCACCACTATATAATAATTAGTAATGACAATATTTCCTTTGAGTTGCCCTAGACGGCCACAGAATCTCAGGCTGCCATCCCTGCAATTAGACTAATAGCTAGTAAAAAGCAAAATTAGGGAGAGAGGGGAGAGATCTACCAAATTCAATCAGTGTTTGTTTTGAATTCGGCATTCAACCTCCTGGTGGGGAAATCTGCTCTGATTGTACCCTGCCATTTAAATACATAAAATATGTTAAAAGAAAAATATATATTCCATACACTTTTAGCCATTAAAAGTTTTCAGGTTTCTTCCTCATTAGGCTATTTCCAAGGGGCCCATGGGACTCAAGTTCATGATTGAGGGAGCTGCCCCTCTGCCAAAGAAGGTCCCCGAGAACAACCAGGAAGACGCAGTTTGTGTGCCCCTTATTTATTTTATTTCGTTCAAGCAAACAGTTGGCAAGAGCAGACATTTCCTATTGCCTGGGCACTGTTTTAATCACTGTTTAAATATTTGCCATCCTGTCTTTGTTTTGCTTAGGATTGCTGAGTTAATGTAATACAGATTTGTACCCTCTGCTGAGTGAAATATAGATTTCATCTTCTGAACCAGGGCTGTGTTCACTGAAAATAGTTTCCTCACTCCCCACCCCCACTGCTTGTCTTTTATTTTCTGCCTTATATTAATCCTTCTCATGGCTTCTCAAATGCCTACAGGTTACCGACAAATTGCCCCCAGGCAGTTCCAACACTTTTGGTTTCAGCAAACCTAGCCTTACGTGTGACTCACTGTGAAATTTTAAGGACCCTTAAGTCAATCTCTCTGATACCAAGTTAGAAAAATATCTGTCCTAGGCGAGAACTTCATCATCTGATGGACATTCTGAGGTTAAGAGAAAATGAATTTCTGACCTCAGGCCAGTTTCTGACCGGCAGTGCATTTGTACCAAGGACCCCTTCTGTGAATGAAGCTCTGCGAAGGTGGAGCGGGATCCAGGCTAACTTGGCTTCTGTGTAACCTGATTTCCCCCAGGACTCCAAGCCTGGGTGTACTTTAACAGTCACCTTACAGTCGTAACTCAGATTTCACTGCCTTTCACTCCCACCTGTTGATAGAGGGCCTATGGCTCTGTATTTTGCAGAATTTTTATAAAAGTACATTTCAATTTTAACAGACATAGAACTCTCAATGGCACACTTCAAAAATCAAATGGGGTCTGAACAGGAAAGAACTATGAGTGTGTGGCATCATTCTCATTCTTTCTCCCCCTCTCTGAGAACCATGATTCAGTTCTCCATCAAGGCTGTTGTGTCCTCTCCTGCTCCCCTCAGAACAAGCACCCTCTCACGCCCACACTCCTCAGTCCTTGGCAGTAGGTTCTTCTGCAAGAACTTGCAGACTGGCCAGACAGCCAGCTCTCAATCCCAAGTGGACGCTACCTGAGGACCCCAGCAGACCTGAGATAATCAGTGCACACAGCTGAGGAAGCTAGCAGAGACCAGGGGAGGAACCATGTAAAAGAATTACAAAGAACAGCAACTGGAGCTCACCTGAGGACAGAAGAAGTGACTGTTACCAGTAGCCAGATTGGAGAACCTTATAATTTTACATAAAATTGAGTGGAATATTCAGAAAGATGTTGCCTTAGTAGTAAAAAATAACTAACCCTAAACTAAACGATGTTCTAGTCTTGCTTTACAAATATGAAAGGTAAGCCATAAAAGGATCAGTTTCTAAGTAACTTAACTGCATCTCAGAACAAAGCCCAAGACATTTATAGGAATAAAAAGATAACCATCACAATGTCTGCCACTCAAACAAAAGTTAATGGGCATGCAAAGAAATGAGAAAACATTGAGGAGAAAAATCAGTCAGTCAAAAACAACAGATGTTAAGATTAACAGGCAAAGAAACTTAAAAAGATATTAAAACTGTAGTCCATATATTCAAAAAGTTTCATAGAGACAGAGGAGCTATTTTTAAAGACCTAAGGCTGGGCATGGTGGCTCATACCTGTAATCCCGGCACTTTGGGAGACCCAGCCAGGCAGGTCACAAGGTCAGGAGATGGAGACTATTCTGGCTAACACAGTGAAGCCCCATCTCTACTCAAAATATAAAAAATTAGCCAGGCGTAGTGGCATGCACCTGTAATCCCAGCTACTCAGGAGGCTGAGATAGGGGAATCGCTTGAAGCCAGGAGGCGGAGGTTGTAGTGAGCCAAGATCGCACCACTGCATTCCAACCTGGGCAACGGAGTGAGACTCCATCTCAAAATAAAACAAAATAAAGACCTAAATCAGAACTCCGAGAGACAAAAACTGCACTGGAAGGGATTAATGGCAGGTAAATTCAACTAAACATGTAAAAAAGAAATAACACCATTTCTACATGGACCCTTCCAGAAAATTAAAGAAGAGGGGAGATTTCCCAATCCATTCTGCAAGGCCAGCATTGCACTGATAACAAAACTAAACAAAAATATTTCAAGAAGAGAAAACTACAACCTAATTTTCTTCATAAAACGGGTGAAAAATTTCTAAATGCAATTGTAGAAAATCAGATTCAACAATATATAAAAAGGATAATACAACATGATCAAGTGAAGATTGTCCCAGGAATTCAAAGCTGATTCAACATTCCAAAATCAAACACTGTAATTCGCCATATTAACAAACTAAAAAAGAAAAACTACACATCATTTCAATACATGTATAAAAAGCATTTGGCATCATGCAACCTTCATTCTGATAAAAAGCCTTAGCAAACTAGAAACAGAAGAAAAGTTCCTCAAATAAACAAAGGACATCTACAAAAAAGTCGACAGCCAACATCCCACTAAATAGTGAGACTGGATCCCTTTCCCCTAAGATCAGGAATAAAACGAGGATGTCTGTTCTCACCGCTTTTGTTCAGCATTATACTGACGGTATAATACATAAGGAAGTACAAACTAAAGGCATAAAGATTGGAAATGGAGAAGTAAAAGGAAGAAAATGACAAGATCATCTGTGTGGAAAATCTGACGGAATGCACAAAGAAGCTACTAGAACTAGTAAGTGTGCTAACTAATGCAGCAAGATTATAGCATTGCAATACTAGTATACAAAATTAATTATATTTTATATATAAGCAATGAACAATCCAAACAAGAAATTCAAAAAACAATACAATTTACATTAACATCAAAGAATACAGAATTCTAGGAATAAACCTGAAAAAAATATAAAGGACCTATACACTGAAAATAAAACATTGCTAAAAAATTTAAGATGATCTTAATAAATGAAAAAATATACCTTGCTCATGTATTGGAGGATTCAATATTTTTAAGACATCATTTTTTTTACTAAGTTGATGTATAGATGCAACACAGAATCTGATAAAGAGTTAATACTTAAGTTGGTGCAAAACTGATTACAGTTTTTGCCATTAAAAGTAATCTAGAACCCAAGTTGTAGCATTTCACTCATAGAAAACAAAACAAAAAATAAAACCAGATTTTGTTTTTACTCAAGTAGCCTTTTTATTTTTTTTAAGTAATGGCAAAAACCGCAATGAGTTTTTAAATTTATTTTTTAAAAGTAATGGCAAAAACCACAATGAGTTTTGTACCAACCTAATGTATAGACTCCTAAAACACAACAAAACCAATTTTAAAATGGGCAAAGGGCTTCTATGGACATTTGTCTAAAGACATACAAACACCCAATAGACACATGAACAGATACTCAACATCACTAATCATTAGGGAAATACAAATCAAAACCATAATGAGATACTACTTCACATCCATTATGAGGGCTACTTAAAAAAATAGTAATAATAAAAAAAAGTGTTGGTGCAGATATGGAGAAATCAGAACTCTTTACACCATTGCTAGCAATGTGAAACTATACAGTCGCTATGGAAAAAAGTATGTAGGTTCCTCAAAGAATTAAAGATAGAACTACCATATGATCTAGCAACTCCACTTCTAGGGATATACTCAAAAGAATTGAAAGCAGATATTTACACACACATTTTCATAGCAGCATTATTCACAATGGCCAAAAAGTGGAAGCAACCCAAGTGTCCATGGATATTAGAAGAGATAAAACAAGTATGGTATCCATATACTGGAATAGCATCTGGCCTTAGAAGGAAGGAAGTTCAGGTACCTGCTGCAACATGGAGGAACCTTGAGGACATTATGCTAAGGGAAATAAAATAGTCACAAAAAGACAAATAGCATGTGATTCCACTTATATGAGGTACTTAGGGCAGTCAAATTCATAGAGACAGAAAGTCGAATGGCCATTGCCAGGAGGCGGGTGGGGGGCGTTAGTGTTTCATGGGTACAGAGTTTCTGTTTGGGAAGATGAGTTCTGGAGATGGATGGTGGTGATGGTTGTACAACACTATGAATACACTTAATGCCAGTGAACTGTATACTTAAAAAGGGTTAAGATTGTAAATCATATGTGTATTTTACCACGATAAAAATTTTTTACAATTCTAAGTTTAAAAAAAAAGACCTCTCAGCCAGACTTCTATGCCTTATGTATGAATAATACCTTTAAGGAGAGCCTACTGGCCAAACACCAATCACCCATTGCCAAAACTTGATTCACCAGAGAATTGACTTTAAATTGTTTTTTCACATGTGCTGATGGCTGTCAGCATCCAGGGTGATAAACCAAGCCAGGACAGGCACCCCTGTGTTTTCACAAGTCATCATTTGTTCCTAGAAATTCATTCATGAAGCACATCAATGCTAAACATCTTTCTGTGTTCCAGGCATTGGACAAGATGCTAAGGTTTCCACAGAGAATGAGACATAATCACTGCCCTCATGGAGTGCTCCTAGTGCCTAGTGCCCAGCAGGGTGGTGAGAGTCAGAGACAGGGACTAGAGAGAGAGAATAACCAAACAAATAAGCAAACTTAATATTAAAAATTGTGTGGAGTGAGGAACTCGAAAAGGCTATCTTCTTCTTCCTCTTCCAGGGACGTTGCCTACAGGTACTCAGAATGGTCCAGCATTTGACAAAACATCAAAGGCTTTCCTACGATACAGCCTCTAACAAAACTCAGCTGTCCAGAACCCCTGGTAATAGAATTGTTTACCTTTATACCAAGAAGATTGGGAAAGCACAAAAATCTGCCCTTGGCGTGTGCCAGGGCCAACTTCGAGGGGTTCATGCTATAAGACCTACAGTTCTCATGAGATCACCCAAAACAAAGAAACACGGCAGCAGGGCCTATGGTGGTTCCACGTGTGCTAAATGTGTTCATGGTAAGATCAAGCGTGCTTTCCTTATCGAGGAAGTGTGGTGCTGTGCAAGTGTTGAAGGCTCAAGCACGGAGTCAGAAAGCTAAATAAAAAATAAAACTTGTTGAGTCATAAAATGAAAAGACTTGCAAAATAATTGTGTGCAGTGAATAAACAAGTACTTCTTCGTCAATAAGAAGATGGATGAGGATATTACAGGAAATAAAATCTGAGAAGCCACTTCTATAGAAGGTAACTCCTTGAATTGTTTAACAGAGAGGTTAAACAGCAAACCCCATGATGCTATAGTGAGATGCCCCTCCCCCCATTTGGGAGAAAACTGGAGGTTCTCTTCTTTACACTGAGCTGTTTTTGGAAACACACTCCATAAGCAAAACTATTAAAATATGTCAGATGAAAGAAAAGCAGGTGTACTTATACATATACATATATTACTATATACATTTAAAAATGGGTTCTTTCAAAGAATGACATGTTTTGCACCCCTGAGATCACTGAAACTTAGTATTTTATCTATAGCTTTCTGTTTTCATGTTTAGGATTCATTTGTGAACAGCAAGATTTGTACCTGTACAGAAGATTTTAGCTGACAACTCAATTCAGTAAGTTGATCCTGAGTGCCCGCCTGCTAGGCCCTGCTCTAGGCACAGGGACATAAGAGTGATGGCGCCTTGTTGAGACATGAGTGTCCCAGCACTCATGGAGCCTGCAGGCTTTTGCTGAGCACCAGGGCTGACATGAGTTCCTCCCAAGGTGACTTTCCCTGGGTGGGAATGTTATATCAGATGACGTCTCTGGTCTCGGTCCAAATTACAAACTCAAAGAAACTTGGTAGGGTGGCAGGGCAGGGCAGGCCTGTGCATGCAAAACAGGAGCCCCAGCTCGCCTTCTAGGGAGGGCACGTGTTTCAAAAAATTGTTTGGCCATACCGGTTTCTTCATTTATTAGTTGAGCAATAACTACATCAGTGTTTATCATCCCAGTGGCTACGGGGGCCAACGGCCCCAACAGGAACTCTTCCCCCTTCAGAGCTAGGGTCTCAGGACAAACGAGAAACACTTTGTGTGGAGTAGGCTCCTTGCTCAGGATCACACAGCAGTGGGGGCAGGGCTGGGATGAAAGGTCTGCTGTTAAAGAGCGTTCTCATCACATCCTTTGGTGGATGTGCCTGTGCAGATCAGCCTTTGGGGGCAGCCATCCTCTCCCCTACACTTCCAGCATGTCCCAGGGCTGCATCAGGTATGATGGCATAGCTGATTCTGACCCTGGCATGAGCCTAATCTAAGCAGAAGATGCCAGGAAGGAGGTTGGGAGTGGGGTGCTTTCCCTATTTGGTGCCTTCAAGGCTGTGCTACCCTTGGGGCTGGGCTGGAGAATAGAGAAAGCTGGTGAGACAGTGGATACAATGAAGTCAACCTGTGATCTTAAACTGGAGGGGAAGTACTCTTGCTTATAGCTTAGTGATCCTACCCAGAGGAAGAGTACTCAGCAAACTGAGGGCAAGGCACACTTATCAAACAACCCACTAGTTTGCAGAATCAGTCCAAACAAAGCAATTTAGGCCATCCTCAAAGGAATGATGTTATGCCCAAACTACCAACTTGCTGTAGACACTGGCAGCTTTTCCTTTCCCCTCCAACTGCAAAAGCAAATTGCGCTCCACCTCCAGAAGTGGAAAGAAACACCGCCTCTCCAGAGACCACCCCAGTAGGGCACATGGGAAAAATACAAGGCTTATCCAGTGTTCAGCTCTCTCCAAAAGGCAGATTCCCCTCACCACTTCGATCCCATATGTGGCTATGGCCCACCGTCCACAGAAGGCATTTCTCTGCTAGGAGGATGGAGTTCTTCCAGTCTTCCAAACAAGAAAGCTCAGCCTTTGTGGTTCTCAAGTAGGCTTGTGTGGAGCAAGAAGTGGGGAAGTGGGAAATTACAATTCCTCTGGGGTAAGGAGGTGCTGTTTCTCCACTGGGGAAAGGGAGTAAGCAGGTGCATATATAAGAGCCGTGCCGTTAGAAAAGAAAATGTAGGATTTGAGCACAAGAGAATGTTTTATGAATTGTGTATTTTAATTAAATTTTCAGGGTTTTTTTTTTCTGTCTTTTTTTTTTTCCTCTGCAAGAACCAAGAAACAATGGCATTGAGAAGGTATAAAAAGATTCTTTAATAGTTCCACCTCCTTAGATATACAGCAGGAGAAACAAAGTTGGTTTACTTTATACTGGACATTAAAATAAGTCTGGTACCTTTGTGTATCATTAGCTGACGTGAATGGTAGCAGTGCCAGCCTCCTGGACTAAGATTCCACCAGTCTCTCCTGTGATGCGGCCAATCCCCCACCCCCACCCCAGCCAACACAGAGCTGAAATGCAGAAAGCCTAGCCATCCCTGCATTTAAAAAATATATTTGCAAGCCATCCAGGGATTTTATTTCCTTTCTCAAAAAATTGAGAGCCTCAACATTTATTTTGCGTAGAGGCAGAGAAAAGAAAAGCACCCCCATAGTCTGTGGGCTGACCCTAAAACTGAGTGCCTACGGTTATGACTATTTGATAACTGGGCTGCTACACTTGTAAGGTTTCATTTCTTTCTCTATTTCCTTCAAAATGAAACAAAGATAAACAGTGAGAGTAGTATTTTATTGTTTGAACACCAGTTTCTCCCCTTAACAATGCTGTGTTAGTATGACATCTTCTTGATATGATTGTAAACCTCAGTGTGTACACAGCCAGTTATGTACTCCAGAAGCTACTGTCTAATGCCAAGAGCCATTAATCAAAATAAATAGGTGCTCAGGATCCTGAAAGCGGTGTGGGGACTCTGCTTCTCTGCAGACAGACTCCCCTCTTCTGCCCCAAAGTGGGGTGACAGGAGGACGATGGTGGTCAGGGAGGTGCTGTGGCATTCTGAATCCCTGGTGACATAAGCGGGTGTCAGTACAGCCCGTGGATAACAGGAGAAGGGCAGTAAGGGGCCTAAAATGTATTTATGCTGTCCTAAGACTGAACAAATCCTGGGGACACTTCCAGTTCATCTCCCACAATTTCTGGAGGCATCTGCATACCTATCAGCTTAGGCCAAGTGCAAAGTAACACCATCTTTGTCAAAGCCAATTCCTGGAACCCACCCAATAAGCCCAGGCTGCTTTCATTTCTACTCTGTATTCTTTTATGACATTTTAAAGGCAAAGAAAAGAAAGTGCTCTTAGAAGGTAAACAGGTTACTTGAGTTCACAGACTTGATATTTTAGAAAGAGGCTAAACTAAATTATTCCAAGGTCTTAGGTTTAATTTGTGCCATCAGCGACAAAATGTTTTCAAGAGTTAGTGGGTATAATGGACTGAAAAGGATGATAAAGATACTATCAACATCAGGCCACAGAAAGGGAGAGGAGGGAGAGAACAGTTAGAAACATATTAAACTGAACTCTAGTCGAGTCATCCCTCTAGCTCTTTTATTTTGTACCTGGGGTACGGGGTGGGGGGAGTTGTTAGCTTTTGGGTTTTTGCTTGCAGCAAGCATATTTCATTTTGAGCCGGCCGTGCCAGTTAGTGACATAATGTCCACATGGTAATATGATATGGTAAGCACAAATGCAGTGCATAAACCAGACTGTGGCCTGGGAAAGACAAGCTCTGTCCATATATCAACGGGAATGGCTTGGAACTCAGGGAGTGAGTATTTTGAAGCAATCGCACATGAATTCACCTTCAGGAGATTAGAGGCTGATGTCACCAGGAGAGTGAAGTCATCAGAAATGACCTAAACTGATGGGACCTTGCCAGAACAAAGCCGCGCTGTGCAGACACACAGCTTAACTCCTTCTGGGTTGAAGAGTTCGCCAAGGCTTTTTTTTTTTTTTTTTTTTGGTGAATGCGAAGAGTTTCTAATGGAGGACAACAAAGCCAATATGACTCCCACACTCCTTGGCATCAGCTGGTGTTACCTGATGAAAGAGGCCCAAAAATAAGTAGGTTCCACTAACCAGATGTCCTAAACCCTCATCTTTTCACCCAAGAATTCTACCCTGTCTCTATAGATTGTCAGGGGAATAGCACTAGTAGGCTTTTCATAACAACAATTGAGTTGAAGTGAATGGAATTAAGCTAGCAAAAGCAGAACCCCCAGAATGGCAATATTGAGCCCACAGAATGGTGTTGGAACAGCACTACAGAAGACAGCCCACTGAAAAGTGGCTGCTTGCCTGAGTCTGCCTGTGATTCTCAGTGGAACACTCCGTGTGTCAGGAAGCAGTAAGATGCTGGCCATCCCTCCTCTAGTCAAGCTGCTTAGCAGTGAGGAACCATCCTCTTCTCATTGTTACCGTAATTCCTGAGAGCCATTGCCACTTGCTTATTTCATCCTCTCTAATGTCAACCCTTGGCTACTACAGATGCCATAAGGTCAATCACACCTTGCCTAGGCCAAGGAATAGCAACATAACTTTAAAAGTTAATCGTGCATGGAAAATATCTTCAGATACATGTGTCCCTTATGGGCTGTGGCCATATTAACATTGCAACATAAAAACAAGCTACATAAGATCATATTAGAGGTGGTCTTAGGGGCAGGAAGCTGGACCCAGCCTCTCTTCTGGGATGAACCTAGCCTTTGGTGTCTAGAATCCATAGTCACATGGGATACTGTGAATAAAAACAACTTCCAAGCTGTAAAGTATTCACTGAAGAATATTTTGATTTCATGATGGTCCTCCACAAAGCAAGGATAAAGGAGCAACATCAATAGGTGTGATCTTAATATAGGCCAAATGGGAAGGTGGCTGCCAACACAGGGTAGTGGGAGGTATGCAGAGAATGTCTCCTGCCCCTAAACTGTCCTCCTGATGCCTGTTGGGTGCCTAAAAATCCACCTCAAACAACTTGCTTGAGGTCAGTGCTTTTCAAATTGTTCTGATCACAGCCTTTACAGCACCGTTCAGTACTCTCTTATACACATACAATTGAAACAAAAGTTTTGCAAAAGCAATACTTTCCCTAAGGTGTGCTCTGACACGTCCTAATATATTTCAGGTGACTTCATGTTTTACTACTGGTTTTACCCATTAATTTAACAACTACTAATTGGG